AGAAATGTGGGAATATGTGAAGAGACCTAACCTACATTTGATAGGCATACCAGAATGTGACGAAGAGAATGAATCCAAGCTGTAAAATACTCTTCAGGACATTATCCAGGGAAATTTCCCACACCTAGCAAGACAGGCCAACACTCAAATGCAGGAAATACAGAGAACATCACAAAGATATTCCGCAAGAAGAGCAACCCCAAGGCACATAATCGTCAGATTCAACAAGGTTGAAATAAAGGAGAGAATACTAAGGGCAGCCAGAGAGAAAAGTCGGGTCACCCACAAAGGGAAGCCCATCAGACTCACAGCAGATCTCTCGGCAGAAACACTACAAGCCAGAAGAGACTAAGGGCCAATATTCAACATCCTTAAAGAAAAGAACTTTCAACCCATAATTTCATATCCAGCCAAACTGAGCTTCAGAAGTGAAGGAAAAATAAAATCCTTTGCGAACAAGCAAGTACTCAGAGATTTTGTCACCATCAGGCCTGCTTTACAAGAGCTCCTGAAAGAGGCACTACACATAGAAAGGAACAACCAGTACCAGCCATTCCAAAATCACACTAAATGCTAAAGAGCATCAACATAATGAAGAATCTACAACAACTAACGGGCAAAACAGCCAGCTAGCATCAAAATGGCAGTATCAAATTCACACATAACAATATTAACCCTAAATGTAAATGGACTAAATGCACCAATCAAAAGACACAGACTCGCAAATTGGATAAAAATCCAAAACCCATCGGTTTGCTGTAGCCAGGAAACCCATCTCACATGCAAGGATACACAAAATAAAGGGATGGAGGAACATTTACCAAGCAAATGGAGAGCAAAAAAAAGCAGGAGTTACAATTCTCATCTCTGATAAAATAGACTTTAAACCAACAAAAATCAAAAGAGACAAAGAAGACCATTACATAATGGTAAAAGGATCGATACAACAAGAAGAGCTAATGATCCTAAACATATATGGACCCAATGCAGGAGCACCCAGGTACATAAGGTAAGTTCTTAATGACTTACAAAGAGACTTAGACTCCCACACAATAATAGTGGGAGACTTTAACATTCCACTGTCAATATTAGACAGATCAACCAGACAGAAAATCAACAAAAATATCCAGGGCTTGAACTCAGACCTGGAGCAAGCAAATCTGATAGACATTTACAGAACTTTCCACCCCAGATCCACAGAATATACATTCGTCTCAGCACCACATCACACCTCTCTAAAATTGACCACATAATTGGAAGTAATGCACTCCTCAGCAAATGCAAAACAACTGAAATCATAACAAACAGTCTCTCAGATCATAGTGCAATCCAGTTAGAACTCAGAATTCACAAACCAACCCAGAACCACACAGCTTCATGGAAACTGAACAACTGGCTCTTGAATGTTGACTGGATAAACAATGAAATGAAGGCATAAATAAAGAAGTTCTTTGAAACCAATGAGAACGAAAACACAACATGTCAGAATCTCTGGGACACATTTAAAGCAGACTCTAGAGGAAAATATATACCAATAAATGCCCACATGAGAAGAAAAAAAAATCTAAAATTGACACCCTATCTCAAAATTGAAAGAGCTAGAAGAGCAAGATCAAAAAACTCAAAACCTAGCAGAAGACAAGAAATAACTAAGATCAGAACAGAACTGAAGGAGATAGAAACACAAAAAAAACCTTCAAAAAATCAATAAATCCAGGAGCTGACTTTTCTAAAAGATCAACAGAATAGATCACTAGCCAGAATAATAAAAAAGAAGAGAGAGAATAACCAAATAGATGCAAAAAAAAAAACCTATAAAGAAGATATCACCACAGATTCCACAGAAATTTAAACCATCATCAGAGATTATTACAAACAATTCTATGCACATAAACTAGTAAACCTGGAAGAAATGGATAAATACCTAGACACTTGCGTCCTCCCAATCCTGAACCAGGGAGAAGGCAAAACTCTGAATAGACCAACAACAAGGTCTGAAGTTGAGGCAGCAATTAAGAGCCTACCATACAAAAAAAGCCCAGGTCCAGATGGGTTCACAGCTGAATTTTACCAGATATACAAAGAGGAGCTGGTACCATTCCTTCTGAAACTATTCCAAATAATCCAAATAGAGGGAATCCTTCCCAAATCATTTTATGAGTCCAACATCATCCTAATACCAAAACCCAGCAGAGACTCAGCAAGAAAAGAAAACTACAGGCCAATATCCATGATGAACACAGATGCAAAATTCTTCAATAAAATACTGACAAGTCGATTGCAACAGCACATCAAAAAGCTTATCCAGCATGATCAAATAGGATTCATCCCAGGAATGCAAGGCTGGTTCAACATACACAAGTCTGTAAATGTAATTCACCACATACACAGAACCAAAGACAAAAGCCACATGATTATCTGAATTGATGAAGAGAAGGCCTTTGACAAAATTCAACAGCCCTTTATGCTATAAACCCTCAATAAAGTAGGAATTGATGAAACGTATCTCAGAATAATAAAAGCTATTTATGACAAACCAACAGCCAATATTATACTGAATGGGCAAAAACTGGAAGCATTCCCTTTGAAATCTGGCACTAGACAAGGATGCCTTTTCTCACCACTTCAGGCAAGAAAAAGAGCAATCAGGCAAGAAAAAGAAATAAAGGGTATTCAAATAGGAAAGGAGGAAGTCAAATTGTTTCTATTTGTAGATGACATGATTGTATATCTAGAAGACCCCATCGTCTCAGCCCAAAATCTCCTGATTTGATAAGCAACTTCAGCAAAGTCTCAGGACACAAAAACAATGTGCAAAAATCACAAGCATTCCTATACACCAATAACAGATTTAAAGAGAGCCACACTTAGAACGAACTGCCATTCACAATTGCTACAAAAAAAATAAAATACCTGAAAATACAACTAACGAGGAACATAAAGAACCTCTTCAAGGAGAACTATAAACCACTGCTCAAAGAAATAAGAGAGGACACAAACAGATGGACAACCATTCCATGCTCATAATTAGAATGAATTGATATTGTGAAAATGGCCACACTGCCCAAAGTAATTACAGATTCGATGCTATCCCCATCAAGCTACCAATGACCTTCTTCACGGAACTGGAAAAAAAAAACCTTAAACTTCATATAAAACCAAAAGAGAGCCTGCATAGCCAAGTCAATTCTAAGCAAAAAGAACAAAGCGGGAGGCATCACACTACTGGACTTCCAACTATACTACAAGGCTACAGTAATCAAAACAGCATGGCACTGGTACCAAAACACAGATATAGACCAATGGAACAGAACAGAAGCCTCGGAGGCAACACAACATATCTACAACCATCCAATCCTTGACAAACCTGATAAAAACAAGCAATGGGGAAAGGATTCCCTGTTTAATAAATGGTGTTGGGAAAACTGGCTAGCCATGTGCAGAAAGCAGAAACTAGACCCCTTCCTGACACCTTACACTAAAATTAACTCCAGATGGATTAAAGACAAACGTAAGACCTAATACCATAAAAATTCTAGAAGAAAATCTAGGCAAAACCATTCAGGACATAGGTGTAGGCAAGGACTTCATGATCAAAACACCAAAAGCATTGGCAACAAAAGCCAAAATAGACAAATGGGACCTAATCAAACTCCACAGCTTCTGCATGGCAAAAGAAACAGTCATTAGGGTGAATCAGCAACCAACAGAATGGGAAAAAAATTTTGCAGTCTACCCATCTGACAAAGAGCTGATATCCAGAATTTACAAAGAACTAAAACAGATTTACAATAAAAAACAAACAAGCCCATTCAAAATTGGGCAAAGGATATGAACAGTCACTTTATAAAATAAGACATACATGAGGCCAACAAACATAAAAAAAATGCTCATCATCCCTGGTCATTAGAGAGATGCAAATCAAAGCTACATTGAGATACCATCTCACGCCAGTTAGAATGGCGATCATTAAAAAATCTGGAGACAACAGATGCTAGAAAAGATGTGGAGAAATAGGAACACTTTTACACTGTTGGTGGGAGTGTAATTAGTTCAACCATTGTGGAAGACAGTGTGGCGATTTTTCAAGGACCTTGAAATAGAAATTCCAATTGACCCGGCAATGCCATTACTGGGCATATATTGAAAGGATTATAAATCTTTCTACTATAAGGACACATGCACACGTGTGTTCATTGCAGCACTGTTTACAATAGCAAAGACCTGGAATGCCTATCGATGATAGACTGGACAGGGAAAATGTGGCACATATACACCATGAAGTACTATGCAGCCATCAAAAACTATGAGTTCCTGTCCTTTGTAGGGAAATGGATGAACCTGGAAACCATCATTCTCAGCAAACTGACACAAGAACAGAAAATCAAACACCACATGTTATCACTTACCGGCAGGTGTTGAACAATGAGAAAACATGGACACCGGGAGGGGAGCATCACACCCTGGGGTCTGTTGGGGGGAAATAGGGGAGGGACAGCGGGGGGTGGGGAGTTGGGAAGAGATAGCATGGGGAGAAATGCCAGATATAGGTGAAAGGTAGGAAGGCAGCAAATCACGCTGCCATGTGTGTACCTATGCAATAGTCTTGCGTGTTCTTCACAAGTACCCCAAAACCTAAAATGCAATTTAAAAAAAAGAAACACAGAAAAAGGGGCTTTCCTATCATCTTCCATACACCCCAGGCCCCACTGAACAGAGGCATCCCAGGCTCATGGGGTCAGTAAATATACGACCTAGGTTTTCTCCATCATGTGGAGTTGGTATTTGTTCCCTGAGAAACACTTCTGAGGACATCACCAAAGTCAAAGGGCAGAAAAAAATTGTGGTTGACAAATTTCTTTTCAAGACTATTTCTCTTTGGAAACATGACAACGTGCTGAAATTAAAATTTCCTAGGCTTTGGATGAAGCACCTCAACATATGTCAAGTCTGGTTGGATGCTTGGTAGTGCCAGGGACCAGGAAGAGGTGGTCACTTACTTGTCCTAGGCAGCACCTTCCTGTGGCCCCTGCACAGTCCACTGCATCCATCAGTGTGGCCTATTCTGTGCTTCAGCTGCAGTGGGTCTCCTGATGGCCATCTCCCAATGGCACTGAGGTGAGGTGAAGGGCGGAATCACAGGAACAAATAGAGTCAGAAGGTATCAAATACAGTAAGGAATGCACAGTCTCCTCTTCACACAACAGTGATCATATCAGATGCAAGTCAGATCATCCTCCTCTGCTCAGAACCCTCCAGGATCTCCCCATTTCCCGCAGAGCAAAACCCAAAGTCTTAGTAATGGGCACAGACCTTCATGACATATTCTAGCACCTCTCTTACCTCCCCATTCTCTCCCTTGCTCACTCTACTTCTAGACATGTTACCCTGAAACAATACAGATCTCAGGCCCGGTGTCTCACTAACTATTCTCTCTACCTGATACTTGAATATCCTTTTATTTTCATTTGACACTCTCATGTGCTTTGAGTCACTGGTCAAATGCCATCTCAGTGAAACCTTCCCTGATTGTCCCCATTGAAAACCAGACCACTCCTGAACCCTACATGGACCTCAATCCCTCTCTGCTTTAGTTTTGCTTTCCAGTAACCATGATCATTAGGTCATTTCCTCTTCGACTGGCACATAACTCCACAGGGCAGGCACTTATGCCTGTCTTGTTCCTGCTGTATCCTTGCACCTTGGTGCCTCATGTCTGGCATATAGAAAGCATTCAACAAGTATTTACTGGAAAAAATTAGTAATCAAATCCAGGCTAGAAAGGCAGAAACACGAGGCCAGAAAGGGGCCTGACTGAGGAGGCATGTGTCAGCAGATTGGCTTGCATGATATTTAAAGTCTGGACAGGTGAGTTAGGAGGGTAACAGGGCCATGCTGCTGTTGGAATTTCAGATGTTGCCTTGGGAAAGGGCGTTGTGGTGGAGGTGACAGTGAGACCTGGGGAGCATGTGTGTAGCCAACACCCTGTGGGTGGAGTGCCAGCCTCTGAAGTGAGCACAGGCTCAACCTTGTGGCACTGACCTTCCCATCCTCAAGTCAACACTTCCACACTTTTTTTTTTTTTGAAAGAAAGAGAAAAGGGGAGAGAGAACAGGAGTCTTGCTCTATTGCCCAGGCTGGAATGCAATCTAAAAATAGGTAATAAAAACCTCTTTTATGCCAACAATTGTGCTTAACAGCAGAGACAGGAAAGAATAAGGGAAGAAAATAACAAGCAGCCAACCAATATTTCACTTAAGTCTGTGAAATGCTATACAAATGCTGAAGAGTGATTTACTTCCAATTATGTGGTCACTTTCAAAATAGGTGTAATGTGATACTGAGAAAAATGTATGTTCTGTGGACCTGGGATGAAGAATTATATAAATATTCACTGAGTTTACTTGTTCCAGGTCTGCGTTCAAATCATAGATGTCCCTGTTAATTTTCTATCTCATTGATCTGTCAATTAACAATCTGTGCCAAAGTCTCCTGCTATTATCGTGCGGGAGTCCAAGTCTCTATAAGTCATTAAGAACTTGTCTTATGTATCTGGGTGTTACTGTATTGGGTGCATATATATTTGTGATCACTGACTCCTGTTGTTGCATTGATCCTTTTATTATGTAATTCCCTTCTTTGTTTCTTTTAGTCTTTGTTATTATTAAAGTCTATTTTGTCAGAGACAAAAGTTACAACTCCTGTTTTTTGTTTGTTTGTTTTGCTCTCCATTTGACTGGTAAGTCTTCCACCAAACCTTTGTTTTGAGTCTTTGTATGTCCTTGCTTATGAGATGGATCTAGATATAGCGAACCGATGGGTTTTGACTTTTTTTTCAATTTGCCTGTCTGTGTCTTTGATTGGGGCATTTAATCCATTTAAATTTAGGATTAATATTGTTATTTCTGAGTTTAATATTGTTGTTTAATGCTTGCTGGCTATTTTGCCCATTAGTTGATATAGAGTCTTCATTATGGAGATACTCTTTACCATTTGGTAAGTTTTTGGGATGACTGATAATGGTTGTACCTTTCTGTGTATAGTGCTTCTATCAGAAGCTCTTGTAAAGCAGGCCTGCTGGTGAGGAAATCTCTGAGTGCTTGCTTGTTCATGAAAAATTTTATTTTTCCTTCATTTATGAAGTTTAGTTTGGCCGGATATGAGATTCTGGTTTGAAAATTCTTTTTGAATTTTTTGAGGATATTGAACATTGACCCCCACTCTCCTCTAGTTTGTAGGGTTTCAGCTGAGAGATCTGCTGTGAGTCTGATAGGCTTCCCTTTATGGGTAACCTGACCTTTCTCTAGCTGCCCTTAGAATTTTATCCTTTATTTCAACCCTGGTGAATCTAACGATTATGTGTCTTGGGGTTGCTCTACTTGAGGAATATCTTTGTGGTGTTCTCTGTATTACCTGAAGTTGAATATTGTCCTGCCTTACTAGGTTAGGAAAGTTTTCCTGAATATCCTGAAGAATATTTTCCAGCTTGGATTCATTCTCTTCATGACATTCAGGTACACCTATCAAATGTAAATTAGGTCTTTTCACATAGTCCCATATTTCTTGGAGACTGCTCATTCCTTTTTACTCTTTCTTTTCTAATCTTGTTTCCTCATTTCATTTCATTAAATTTGTCTTCAACCTCTGATATCCTTTCTTCTGCTTGATCAATTCAACTGTTAAAACCTGTGCATCACGAATGTTCATTGCAGCACTGTTTACAATAGCAAAGACCTGGAACCAACCCAAATGCCCATCGATGATAGACTGGACTGGGAAAATGTGGAACATATACACATGGAATATTATGCAGCAATAAAAAACGATGAGTTTGTGTCCTTTGTAGGGGCTTGGATGAATCTGGAGAACATCATTCTCAGCAAACAGACACAAGAACAGAAAATGAAATACCACATATTTTCACTCATAGGCAGGTGATGAACAATGAGAACACATGGACACAGGGAGGGGAGCACTATGCACTGGGGTCTATTGTGGGGAATAGGGGAGCGACAGTGGTGGGGGGAGCTGGGGAGGGATAGCATGGGGAGAAATGCCAGATGTGGGTGGAGAGGAAGGCAGCAAATCACACTACCACGTGTGTACCTATGCAACTATCTTACATGTTCTGCACATGCACCCCAAAACCTAAAACGCAATTAAAAAAAAAAAACCTGTGCATACTTTGTGGAGTTCTCGTATTGTATTCTTCAGTTCAATTAATTCACTTATATTCCTCTCTAGACTGTCTATTCTCGTTAGGATTTCGTCAAACCTTTTTTCAAGGTTCCTAGTTTCTTTACATTGGGCTAGAACATGTTCTTTTAACTCACAGAAGTTTCATATTATCCACCTTCTGAAGCCTAATTCTGTTATTGGAACACACTCATTCTCCATCAGGCCTGGTTCCCTTGTTGATGAGGAGTTGTGATCCCTTGTAGAAGGAGAGGTGTTCTGGTTTTGGGTGTTTTCCTCCCTTTTGGGCTGGTTTCTTCCCATCATTGTAAATTTATCCACCTGTCGTCTTTGTAATTACCAACTTTCAAATCAGGTCTCTGAGTGGACGTCCAACTTGTTGATTCCCAGCACCGGAATCTGAGCAACCCACTGCACTGGCTAAAACAGTGGCATTAAGATTCGTGGTGCTTTTCTGCCTGGGAATCTCTGATCTGGCTTTTCTTGAGTCCCTTTTTGAATTAGCTAAATAGACAACTCTGCCTTCCCGGAGCTCCAAATGTCGACCAAAAGGGGACCCAGTCCTGTTTACTCTGCACCAAGAACTGCCATGCTGGGGCACCGGCAAAACCACCACACTGGCCACAAGAGTCACTCTGGTGACCCGTGGGGCTCCTCCGCTGGGAATCTCCTGGTCCGTGAGCAACAAAAATTCATCTGAAAGTGTGGCGTCCTCTCATTCTCTGCACTTTCACTGGGAGTTACAATCCTGAGCTGCTAGTAATCAGCCATCTTGGATCTCTCTCTCCACTTTCTTCTCTTTTCAAACTTCTCACAACCTCTCACTCCCCATTTGCAACTGATGACTTTGCCTCCTGCATCCTTAAAAACGTGGAAGCCGAAAACTAAACCACCAAACCTACAAACTGACTACATTTGCCCATTTTTCTGTTCTTCTTGGTACAATGCAGGAGGTGTCTGTCTATACAACACCAACCCCTCAACTTCTGGGGGATCTCCCTTCCTCTCAGCTCCACCAGCCCCCACCACTTCTGCTCCCCTCGACTGTGCAGACCCTCCAGTCACCCTCACACCAGCCACCCAGCATCTGTCCCTCTGTTCCACCAACATGGGCCCTGGCAGGACCACCAGCCTTTCCCTGAAGCCAAGTCTCAACTCCCTTCTCCTCAGTGTTTGATATGATAGTTTCTCTCCTGGTTATCTCTGTCTCTTCCCTTCAGGTGCCTTTGTTGCTTCTCTTCCTCCACCAGAATGTTCAAAGCTGGGGAATCTTAGGCCTCTGTCCCAAGTCCTCTAATTATCTTCCCAGAGTAACTCATGCTTTCCCAAAGATGCGTAACTCATTTTTTAAAAATGCTGATAACTCCCAAATTTCATCTCCATCCCAAATCTGTCTTTAAGCTCCAAATTCATAGTTAACTGAGATCTCCATTTCTCTTTTATTTCACAGACACCTCAAGTTTAGCATGCCCACAAGAGAAATCTTGATTTCCACACACTGGCACTGGTTGGCAGGCCAAGATCCACACCCTGCTGTCCCAGAGGCGACTGAATTGGGTTACCCGCCTGAGGCTGGCCCTGTCATATTTTTTCTTAAGAGGCCATGAATTGAGGACACAGTGACTTTCAGATTGGTTCTGTCCCTAGACATGTGAGGACAAGTGAACTTGGGAGCAGACTGTGGGGCAGCCATTTTCTTGCTACATCTAAAGAGAAAAGAATGAAATGGATATGGGGAAACAAAGAGCTTGCAGTTGTTCCTGATGGCACTCACTTCTTGTTCCCCATGACAAGAAATGCCCTTCTAACTTATGCTAGGTGAGTTGGTGTCTTCATTTGCTGCCAAACAAACATTAAGACACCTGCTACTTGCATGTGTCTTTTGCTGGGTGAAGATAATTTGGACTAGTTCACAAATGCTTCCTATTTAAATTTTGACTGAGGATGCACCAAAATCAGAGATCAATTTAGGAAAAATTTTCATCTTCCTGATATTGAGTCTATGAATGAACAAGAAAGACTTCAGTATTTATTCATGTTTCTCTTTCCCTACTGTCACTCTGAAGAATTTTATGGTTTAAAAAGGGAGATCACTTACCTACAAAAAAAAAAAAAAAGAAATCAACAAGGATAAGGGAAACAACTGATATAAACACAACAGAAACAAATACAACTAATTGTTACATATGAATCACATAGCTACACGAAAGAGAGAAAACCAAGACTCAAGTATCTTTTGTATGCAGTATTCTGACTCTACAGCTTCAAATCAAAGTGCAAAAGCCAGTAGACAGATACTGAACAATCAATAGGTTGTTTTTACACAGTGGTTATGGACTAGCAATTCTGAAACTACTTTTAGTATATTCCAAGATTAAGAAAATCTAATACTAAGGATAATTGGGACCATATTTTGTTTTGAAAAAAGGGGTGCTGGGGGGCTACAACTATGGAAAGAGGGAAGGGTAGATTGAACCCTGTGGTATTAGACTGGAATTGACAGATTGAACCCTGTGGTATTGGACTGGAATTGACAGACTGAACTCTGTGGTACTGCACTGGAATTGATAAATTGAACCCTGTGGTATTAAACTGGAACTGATAGATTAAACCCTGTGGTATTGAACTGGAACTGAAAGATTGAACCCTGTGGCATAGGACTTGAATTGATAGACTGAACCCCGTGGTACTGAAATGGAACTGGTGGCATTGGAATAAATTAATGGTTTTAAATACACTGATGGCTATGGAAATTGATACAAGATAGTGTGTTTAAACAGATACACTTACATTTATTTCCTAGCTCTCTGCTGAGAGCCCAGAAGCAGTGACACCCTCATGATAGTGAGCACACCTAACACCCATATCTTGTTCTGTAAAAACTATTCTCCACAGAAAGGCACCAGAGCACCTGGGAAAAGGACTTATTCCACAGCTGGGGCTTTACTGTGGGGAAGTCTGGCAGTCACAATCTTAACCAAGTGATAAAGATTACATCATCTAAACTGACCACAAAAACCATCACAGATCTCCTGAAATGACACACCAAGGACAAATCTCTTATGTGGTTCCTGGAAAAATCATCAAAGAGCACTGGACAAACCCAAGGTGAAGGACAGTCTACAAAATAATTGCCTCATGCTCTTCAAATATGGCAATATTTTATCTTTGAAAGACAGACTGGATGGGGATGGTGGCTCACACCTGTAATCCTAGCAATTTGGAAGGCCCCAGTGGGAGAATCACTTGAGGTCAAGAGTTCAAGACCAGCCTGGACAACTTGGTGAAATCCTCTCTCTACTGAAAATATGCCCTCACCTAAAAAAAAAAAAAAAAAAAAAAAAAAATTAGCCAAGCATGGTGGCACATGTCTGTGGTCCCAGCTACTTCGAAGGCTGAGGCATGAGAATTGCTTGAACTCGAGAGGTGGAGTTGCAGCAAGCCAAGATCATGCCACCACATTCCAACCTGGGCAACAGAACAAGACTCTGTCTCAAAGTTAAAAAAAAAAAGACTGAAGAAGTACTCCAGATAGAAAAACATGACAACTACATATGTGTGATCACAGATTGGATCCTCAGCCAGGAAAATTAAAAAAAGAAATCCTATAAAGGGCATTACCAGGATAACTGGCAAACATTAATAAGGTTTATAGATTGTAGCATGTCATCAACATTCATTTTCCTGGCCAAGCACAATGATTCATGTCTATAATCCCAGCACTTTGGTTGGATTACTTGAGACCAGGAGGTCGAGACCAGCCTGGGGAACATAGGAAGACCCATCTTTACAAAAAACAAAACTAGCCAGGTCTGGTGGCACACACCTGCAGTCCCAGCTATTCAGAAGGGTGAGGTGGGAGGACTGCTTGAGCCCACGTGGTTGAGGATGCAGTGTTGTGATTGCACCACTGCATTCCAGCCTGCATGACAGAGCAAGACCTTGCTTCAAAAAAAAAAAAAAACCAAATCATTTTCCAACGAATACTATGGTCATGAAAGAGAACATCCTTGTTCTTAGGAAGCACATGCTGATGTATTTAGAAGTAAAGTGCATCACATCGGCAACTCAGTCTCAGGGCAAAAATGTCTGTATCTACAGAGAGGGAGAATAAGAAAATGATACAGCAAATGTGGCAAAATGCTAACCGGGGAATTTGACGGAAGAGATTTGAGTGTTCTTTGTGGTACTCATAATAATTTTGTGTGTGAACTTATTTCAAAATATAAAAACTACAAAAAATGTAGCTTATAGTGGATATATATCATTTATGACTATTCAAAGTCTCATAAAACTTTCTCATGTTTTAGGGGCTCTCTACAGCCTTCCCAACAAAGAAGCCATCATCTACACTTCCTGGCCTCCCTTGCTGCTAGTAGTGAACAAGAATTGGTTTGGGTGCTCAGATCTGTCTGGACAACCCTGAAGTCAAAGCATAGTTAAATAGGAAAATTAGACTTCTGCCTGCTCACCTAGGTCACAGCAAAGCAGTGGGATTCCTAAATAGTCAGCATTTACCTTGGGAGGGGAGTTCCATGGGATGGTTCTGTATTCTTTCCTGGAAGCTTGGACCCCAGTCTACTTCTTCAGCTCTCTTAGTGCTTCTGTGAGATAATAATTTTCAATTAGTGTTAACAATGCCTAGCACAGAGTGCCAAGGACTGGGTACAGTTTAAAATACCTTGCACATACCGTTGCATTTAATCTTCACAAAACTCTTAACTGCAGTAAGAGTTTTGTGGTCAACACTTAGGTCTTCTATCTCTCCAGAGGCTATACTGTATGTTGGGGAGTGGCAAGGCGGATGGATGCTCTTTGGCTGTGGAAACTGTGCAGGAATAACCCACCTTCACACAGGCAACCACTCCACAGTATAGTCCCGTGGTCCCAAAACATATTACAACTCCTGCAAGAACTCCACATCTCTGGGAAAATCCAGCTCTGATAGTCAACTTAGGTCACAGGGAGCATTCCAAAGCATGGTCGGCAAACCTTCCTATAAAGGACCAGAAAATAAATACTTTGGCTTTGTGCAGCATATGCAATCACAACTGCTTGATTCTGTGGTGCAAAAGCTGCCATAGCTATCTGTAAACAAATGGGTATACTGTGTTCCAACAAAACTTGGTCAGGGCTTGGTTTTTCATGAAACTGTGTCCTGACACCCCCAGACAGGCTGGATAGTATTGAGAGGAACTCTCAGTATCCAGGCTTTCTCCTTGTTCTGGGGACTGGAGCACAGCTCTGAAAAAGGATGAGAGTGCATGAGCTGGACCCTCAGGGAAGGACACTGACTAGGTGGGAACAAGAGCCTGAAAGCTTACAGGCATGGAAATGAAGTGCATGGAGACAGCTTCCTCTGTAGCCGAAAAACTAGAAGCTGAAACAGCCATGTAGAACTGTGCAGCAGCCCAGAATGGGAGATGGGGGCCTGAGTCACAGCAGACCAGTGAGAGGAGAAAGCTGACCTCAGACTGCAGATATGCATAAAGAAAATTGGGGCAGTGGGCAAGCCTTGGGTTCAAGTCTTGGAACCAGAAGAACAAAGAAGGGCAAGGAATTGGTGGTGGTGAATAGGTACCACTTCTGGGAGAATGACAGAGCAATTGGACCTGAAAAAACTCTTGACTTATGTAAACAAAATATCAATTACAGCCAGTGACAAATAATTTACCCCACAAAAGTAATTACCAAACAAAAAAACTACTATGGTTATCTCAAACCAAATATCACTTTATTATTTTGGTAACTTTTGATTACAATAAACTCTATTGATGAATATACAGCTTCCATAATCTCCCTCATAACAAATGTGCAGCCTGTTCACAGCTATAAAAACCAAACCAAACCCAAGAGGTCACAAGAGGCAGGAGCAGTGGCAGTGAGAAGGGAGCCTGTAAAGTATGTTTCAAAGGAGTGTCCTAGACCATGTGGCCACCAGAAGTGGGGCAGTGGGGCAGTGAGCTAGGTCCAGGCTTTAGGTCTGAGAAGTGGCAGAGGCTGAGACAATGGCCAGACAGGAGTTGGAGAGGAAACTATTCTATTTCACTCCTACCAGCCAAACAGGCTACTCCCTGGTGTGAATCAACTGGTGTTTTACCAACTTTGATCGCTGGCTGAAGGCTTTCCCACAAGCAGCACAGTCAAAGGGCTTCACCCCAGTATGAATCCTCTGGTGCTGGATGAGGACGGAACGCTGACTGAAAGCTTTCCCACACTCACTGCATTTGTAGGGGCGCTCACCGGTGTGGATAATCTGATGCTGAATGAGGTGTGAGCTCTGGCTGAAGCCCTTACCACATTCAACACAGGTGTAGGGTTTTTCACCAGTATGAACTTTCTGGTGGTGAATGAGATTTGAGCTTCGGTTGAAGGCCTTACCACACTGGTTACATTCGTGGGGCTTCAGCCCATTATGAATTCTCTGATGCTGAATGAGTGTTGAGCTCTGGCTGAAGGTTTTTCCACATTCAGTACATTCATAGGGTTTCTCTCCAGTGTGGACTCGCTGGTGAAGAATAAGATTGGAGCTACGACCGAAGGTCTTCCCACATTCATGACACTCATAGGGTTTGTCACCTGTGTGCACGCCCTGGTGCTGAATGAGGGCTGAGCTGTGGCTGAAGGCCTTCCCACAGACATTGCATCTGTATGGCTTCTCACCCGTGTGAATTATCTGGTGCTTTCGGAGAACTGAGCTGTAACTAAAGGCTTTTCCACATACATTACACACATGAGGCTTTTCTCCAGTGTGAATTCTCCGATGCTGAATAAGGCTGGAGCTCTGACTAAATGCTTTCCCACAGTCGCTGCACTTATAGGGTTTCTCTCCAGTGTGAACCCTGTGGTGCTTAATGAGGTTCGAGACCCGACTGAAGGGCTTGCCACAATCATTACACTCATAAGGCTTCTCTCCAGTGTGGACCCTCTGGTGCTTCCTCAGGTGTGCACTCTGGCTGAAGGTTTTCCCACACTCACCACACTCAAAAGGCTTCTCACCTGTGTGAGTCCTGTGGTGTTTGACGAGGTTTGAGCTTCGCCTGAAGGCCTTCCCACACTCGCTGCATACATACGGCTTCTCCCCAGAATGGATTCGTTGATGTTGGATGAGGTTTGAGCTCCGCCTAAAAGCCTTCCCACATTCACTGCATTCATATGGCTTCTCACTTATGTGGGACTTTTGGTGCTTCTTAAGGCTTGAGTTCTGGCTGAAAGCTTTTCCACATTCATTACACATATAAGGTCTCTCATTGCTGTGGTGACTCTGATGCTTAGAAAAGTCTGAGTGCCCATGGAAGGCTTTCCCACACTCGCTGCACTGGTAGGCTTTCTCACTCATGTTAGATCGATGATGGTTTTTAAGAACTGAGTTCTGGCTGAAGGTTTTCCCACAATCATCACACATAAAGGAAGTCTCCCCAGTGTGGGCTATTTGATGCTCAATAAGATCAGGATTTCCTCTGAAGGTTTTCCCACACTCATTACATATTAGTGGACTTTCAGCTGTGGGAATCCCCTCATGACCAGTTAGGTCCACACTGTGCTGGAAGCTCTGGTCATCCATGTCATATGGATGTGGCCTCTCTACTGTAGAGATTTCCTGACATGCCATCAGGTTTAAGCTCAGACTGAAGCGACTGTCAAAACCATTATAGTCCAGATCTTTCTCCACCAAGGGGCCCCTAAGGAGCCCCATGGTCACTGGTGTGAAGTCCCTTTCCTGGGAGAGGGACTGCAGCAGCCTCCTGCCTTCAGGGACTCCCCAGTCTCTTTCTGCTACATCATCACATAGACCTCCAAGCTCGGGCACCTGGGAAACATTACCAGCATAGTTTTCTGGTATTTCTGCCTGTGATTCCAAATCTTCACAAATGTCTTCCTTGTGAAGAAACTCCTTGTCTTCGGTCCTGCTGTCACAATCTGAAACAATAAATATAATGTCACTTGAAGGCATTGCTGCAGCAGGAGCAGAAACTCAGAAAGCCAGACTTGCACCTAATAACTGAGGAGGAGACAACGGGTGCAGGGGACTGCGAAGGTAGCAGTCCAGATCAGAGGGCATCAGGGAGGGGAGGGAGGAGCGCCAGGTGACAAGGCTGCATGGCGGCTGTAGATGAGTAAGAGCTCTTGATGACCTGCGGTCCCCAGGACTCCACATCTCAGCAAATGTTCCTGCAGTCTGCATTCTGGCTCAGGCCAAAATTCTGGGTGTCCCTTGACTCCCCTCTTCCTTGACACCCATGGCAAGCCACTTGCAAGTCCTGTCAGCTCTACCTTGGAATGCAGCCCAAATTCAGGTGCTTCTCACCTCTTCCGCCTGTACCAGAAAAACATCTGACACCACTCTTTACATATTTTACCCTTTGTTCTCACCATACTGCCAGGTGTGACCCTTATCAGCTACCTCCAGTTCTCAGTGCATGCCAATGGCATTCAGCTTAGTCTTAGGAGTCACTAGTATGGAGAGAGACCCTGTTGCACACAGAGAAACATAGCTGGCTCACAGGGCATGGCAGGTTGAGTTGCGTGGAGGCATCACTCAACCACTCCTGTGTGGAATGTCAGATTCCATCCTATTCAACAGAGGTCCCTTTAGAGACTGCTATGTCCCGTCAAAGCCACCCGTACCTTCAAAAACCTGCAATCCTGATTGGTTTGCTAGACGGCTTTCGGCCTAGTAACAATGTACATCATCTTTCTGCAGGCAGAAATGCACACAATGCTCCATGTCTGCCAGAAAAGGCTTCAGCATCACCCTTTCCCCTCTTCACACCTGCAGAACAACATGGCCATCATGTCCCTGCGTCCCTTACTCAAATGAAGAGTCTCTCATTCAAACTGACATCCCAAGCCACACTGCAACCTGGATGCTGAGCAGCTTCCCTGGCCTCCAACCTCCCCTTCTGCCCACAGCCTGGTGACATCAGACCCAGGAATATCATGCACTCAAATTTCCAGTCAGTGCCTCTTGGGCCTGTGTGACCCAGGCCCTCCCACACCCCAACTCCACCTCTGCTCTTGCTATACTCTCAGCAGGGCAGATGTGTCCTCCTTTGTCAGCCCTGCCCAGAGCACTCTCCACATGGCCCCTGGGCTGCCTGCTTCCCTTCCACAGGCTTCACTGGAGATCCCTTACATGATCATAAATGCCAGCACCCTATCCAGTTTACTCGCCACCATCCTGGCTATCTCTTGCAGACTGGATCACTCCCTGATACAGGACTGCATCCCCAAAAATGAAGCCCTCTGGTCTAGCTGCAGTCAGTAGTACTGACTGGGTGGTGAAGGATGCCCCTCGAATGCCCCTCCCACCCACCTCCTGGGGCCCATCCTGCTCCCTGCCTCTCCCCTTCTGGGGCTTTCAGAATCTGTCATAAAAGCATTTCATTTCTGCCTCCAGTCTGAATTGTCTGTTCCCAAGGAGCTGTGGTGTCAATGCAGATCCAATCTGGCCATTAGGCCAGCCCTCACCATGACCCTCCTGGTACCTGCCCCTCAGCCCACTGCATTCTTGGTGACACTTCATGCTGGGTCAATTGACACCTGTGACTCACAGTGTTGTGCTGCTTTCAGCCAGAACACCCTCTTGTAGCTGCCTGCTTCCTGGAGTCTAAGATCAGGCCTCTCCTCTTCTGTCAAGCTGCCCTACATGCCAGCACAAAGATGCAGGTGTCTTTCTTTACCACCCTGCTACCCCTTGGCAGGCCTGCTGATATACATTTCACATGGGCTGCAGGAGCCCTCCACATGTCCCCCACCAGCTTCAGCTCTCCATGTCAGAAGCCCAAGCCCTGGCTCCAGGGGGTGTCTGGGAAATGTGACATCTAAATGCTGCTGTGCTCCCAAGAGCAATGAGGGATGGGGGCTGCTGGGACAGGTAAGGTCTGAACAGAAGTCTTCATCTCTGACAGGGACATCCTGGGACTTGCTTTCCCGTCATCCTCCACCCCTGCCAAACCTTGACTTAGGAGATCCTTGCCCTCTTCTGGCTGTGTGAAGTGACCCAAGGAAGGATGAAGAAGGATGTGCCAACAACACAGATGGCAGTCAGAAAGGCATTTCTGTGAAGAGTCAGAGAGGAGCTGTGTAAGGCGTTATGGCTATATCTTTGTCATATGGTCTTGTTTTTAAAACCCTTGAAAAACACCACAAAACCATTCTTAGCTTACAGGATGCAAAAACCAGCCCACTAGCTGGATTTGGTGACCTCCAACTGAGAAGAGATGTCACTGGTGTGGACCAGGAGATGGTGACCATGAGGAACTGATTTTCTAGCCCAAGCCACTGTTTAGATAGATAAAAGTCTTTTATTGAGATAGGAACTAGAGATGAATTCTGTAGGTAAAATGGTAAGAGATCACTTTTTGGACTGACTAAATTCAATGTAATTCTCCTCTGTAATATAAGAACTGTGGGGGGAAAATGAGTTCCTCTATAGAAAGGATATAGAAAATAAAAAGTATTATTTTCCTGTAAGAAAATCTTTTTTAAAAGTCAGTAAAATTGCTAAGCATGGTGACTCAAGCCTGTAATCCCAGCACTTTGGGAGGCTGAGGCGGGTGGATCATGAGGTCAAGAGATCGAGACCATCCTGGTCAACATGGTGAAACCCTGTCTACTAAAAATACAAAAAATTAGCTGGGCATAGTGGTGCACGCCTGTAATCCCAGCTACTCAGGAGGCTGAGGTTGCGGTGGTGAGCCAAGATCGCACCATTGTACTCCAGCCTGGGCAACGAGTGAAACTACGTCTCAAAAAAAAAAAAAGGTCAGTAAAATTTGGGCTTAAAGGTGAAGGAAAAGACTTGAAAGCAAATACAGTTGCTTGCACTGTACAGACACCCAATTGGAGAAGGACAAGGGCTCTGAGCCCTTCTAGAATGAAACACACCTGCAGAGGAAACATCTTTATGATTAAAAACATGCAATGAGTGACTTCCAGGTTTTTGAAACAGCTTAGGTAAGTACTCAGGTCATAAACCATGCTTAAGTGAATGCCGTGTGTAACCATGATACATTCATGGTTGCATCACAACTTCCCTCAGTGCCTTGGCTGGGCCATCTATTGAACGAACCCCAGAGGCACCTCACACTCAGGTCGGTGGGGATCCTTAGTTCTTCATTTCCTACAGCAAGTTGTTTTCATTTGACTTAAAAATTTACTGAGGGGAAATTCACATAACATAAAATCATTGTAAAATGAGCAATTCACTAGTATTTAGTACATCTATAATGTTATGCAACCACTACCTCTATTTTCAAAACATTCCCATCACTCCAAAGGAAAACCTCTTACCCATGAAGCAGTTTATCCCCATCTACCACTTCCTCCAGCTCCTGGCAACCATCAGTCTGGATTCTGTCTCTACGAATTTACCTATTCTGGATATTTCATATAAATGGAATTATATAGTATGTGACCTTTTGTGTCTGGTTTCTTTCAGTTGGCATATTTTGGAGATTCATCCATGTGTAGCATGTACAGTACTTCCTTTTCATGGACAAATTATACTCATTTGTATATAGATACCACAATTTATCATTCATCCATTGATGGACATTTGGGCTGTTTGCACCTTTTGGCTATCATGAATACCACTGCTGTGAACATGATATACATGTACTTGTTTGAGTAGGTGTCTTCAATTCTTTTGAGTATATACCAAGAAGTGGTACTATGTTCAAACTTTTGAGGAACCACTAAATTATTTTTCAGAGTAGTTGTGCCACTTAACATTCCTGGCAGCAATGTATGAAGATCCCAATTTCTCCACATCCTCTTGAATATCTTTTACCTTTTGGTTTTTTGATTATAGACATCCTCATGAACGTAAAATAGTAATCTCATTATGGTTTTCATCTGCATTTCTCTAATGATCAATACTAAACATCTTTTTTTTTTTTGAAATGGAGTCTCATTCTTGTTGCCCAAGCTGGAGTGCAATGGCACGATCTCAGCTAATTGCAACCTCCACCTCCCAGGTTCAAGTAATTCTCCTGCCTTAGCCTCCCAAGTAGCTAGGATTACAGGCACCCTCCACCACATCTGGCTAAATTTTGTATATTTAGTAGAGACAGGATTTTGCCATGTTGGCTGGGCTTGTCTTGAACTCCTGACCTCAGATGATCTTCCTGTCTCAGCCTCCAAAAGTGCTGGGATTTATAGGCATGAGCCACAGCACCTGGCCAATGTTAAGCATCTTTTCTGTTGCTTGTTAACCATTCACATATTTTCTTTGGAGAAACGTTTATTCAAGTTAATTTGCCCATTATTTGCTTATTTATTTGATGGAGTCTTGCTCTGTTACCTAGGCTGAAGTGCATGGCAGGATCTCGGCTCACTGCAACCTCTGCCTCCCAAGTAGCTGGGATTACAGGTGTATGCTACCAATCCCAGCTAATTTTTGTAATTTTAGTAGAAACAGGTTTTCACCATGTTGGCCAGGGTGGTCTTGAACTCCTGACTGTAGGTGATCCACCCACCTCAGCCTCCCAAAGTGCTGGAATTACAGGTGTGAGCCATCGGTCCCAGCCCTTTACCTGTTTTTAAATTGGGTAGCTTGTGTTTTGTTGTTGAGATGTAAGACTTTTTTATATATCCTATATACTACACCCTTATCAAAAGTATGATTGGCAAATTTCCCCCCATTCTGCATGATGTTTTATTTATTTTTCTTTTTGAGACAGAGCCTTGCTCTGTCACTCAGGCTGGAGTATACTGGAACAATCTTGGCTCACTGCAACCTCTGCCTCCTGGGTTCAAGGGAGAGCTTCCCAAATCATTGAAACTACAGGTGCATGTCACCACACCCAGCTAATTTTTGTACTTTTAGTAGAGATCCAGTTTCGCCATATTAGCAAGGCTGGTCTTGAACTCCTGACATCAGGTGATCCACCTACCTTAGCCTCCCAAAGTGCTGG